ATAAAATCATGTTAAACTGCAGAAATGCTTGTATTCTCAGTTTTTACATGTATGTCTGTGCACCTCTCCAGCAGCTGAGTGATCTTTCTCCCAGTCCTGCAGGGCTTTAGAAAGTTGGGCTTGGAGTATTTTTTAATTTGTGCAAGGAGTTCTAAAGAAAGTTAGTCACTTTGCACTCCCTGAAACTCAGGAAAGAAAATTAACTGTTACTGAGCCAGGCTCGCAGAACAATGTGAGTGACTGAATAAATATAACTAATACCTTATATTAGTATATACCATATATTAGTATATACCATCCACTTGTACCTTTAGGCTGTCAGGATTGCTTAAATGAGCAATAACCATTTAAGCATGGACTAAAAACATGGTTGATGAACTGGAAATAAGAATAACTTATGCAGAAAAACCTCTTTCTGCACTTTTCACATAAATAATCAAATACCGCAAAAGCATCAAAGGGAACCAGGATCATGTCATCTCAGGTGACCAAAAAATTGAAATATCTAAACGCTGGGTGTTTTATTGCCACACAACATTCAGTGACCACTTTTGATGGGATCAGTCTTAGAGCTTGTTAACCCTTTTCCCTCAGATACAGACTCTGACATTCCTTGGTGGGACAAATTTAGCACTGTTGAAAAATGATTCTCTGGCTCAAAAGTGGACAAATAATGGATGAACAGAGTGCACCTATCAGTCAGTCAGATAGGCTAGAGATGCTAGGAGATGGATTGCTTATCTATTCTTTCAGGAAGTGTGTGTTGCTCTATCTCGTTTCCAAGGGGTCCTCTACCTTCCACTGATTATTCCCTGGTGATGTATGTGTTAAGGTAGAAGGAGAGTAAAATTCTGCTGCAGTGAGGAAAACAGTAAGTAAATCTCAACTCACTATTACCTTGTTGTACTCCAAGCACTCATCTGACAACATAAAATAGGCACAGAATGTCCTTGTGTTATTCAGAGTTGTAAATGCGAGCAGACAGTAAGAGGAAAAGGTGAAGCTGGTCAGTACTTTAGGAATTCTGGAGGCTGCAACAAATAAAGAAATTCCTAACAAGAAATGAGGAAAATATCCTCTTCCATTGAGTGTGTAAGAGTTTGGCTGTGCAGTTTGAACTGATTCACATAAAAATATTTTGCTTTTTAAATAAAATACATCCACATTGGCCTTTCCAACTCTGTTCTCCCCTTTTGTGCTGAATCAGACACTGCAATGCACGTGTTGCATTGCAGACATGCACAAACAGTCCAACTTCAAATTGCACTCTGCTAAGCTATATGATTTGGAGTCTAGGGTGTAGCTTTAAAATAGCTTCCTAGGGATCAGCTTGGCCTCACTACCAAGGTATTGGTCATTCTCATTCAGTAACACAATGCAAATTAATAGCAATGGCACTGTTGTCTCTTGTTTTCATAAGTGCTTGAGTCTTAGGTACTGAATTTAATGCAGGTGCCGAACACGAACCAGAACAGAGATTACTGTGACTCACTACTTTTCCATGAACTGAATTTTCACAGCAGCCAGTCACTGAGGGATGAGTAGCTCGCTTCTAAAATTAGACAGCCAAATTTTTAGGACATCTGTAGTTCAGAAGAAAGCAGCTGTGTGGAAATTAATTTAATACTGCCTCTGGAAAAGCATCACTTTTTCAGTTATCTAAACTTCTTACCACTTATAGCCACATTATGGTGAGTGATATTAATGTACTATAGTTACAGTTGCTACAAAGCAATAGGAATGCTTCTTCCTCCACCCCCACCCTCCATTAAAGTAGATAATTAAGCACAGTGGACTACACCCAAACAATGGGATCATGCAGAGTAAGAGGCACTTAAATGAATATGGTTTGCCTCAAACACATGGAGAAATATAGAACAGTGGTGGGTTGACCCTGGCTGGAAGCCAGGTGCCCACGCTCTAACACTCCCCTCCTCAGCTGGACAGGGGAGAGAAAATATAATGAAAGGCTTGTGGGTCAAGATAAGGACAAGGAGATACCGCTCAGCAATTACCATCACGGGCAAAACAGACTTGACTTGGGGAAATTAGTTTAATTTATTACTAATCAAATCAGAGTAGGATAATGAGAAATAAAAACTAAATCTTAAAACACCTTCCCCCCACCCCTCCCTTCTTCCCAGGTTTAACTTCACTCCTGATTTTTCTCTACCTCCTCCCCCTGAGCGGCACAGGGGGACGGGGGAATGGCGGTTGGGGTCAGTTCATCACACGTTGTCTCTGCCACTCCTTCCTCCTCAGGGGGAGGACTCCTCACACTCTTCCCCTGCTCCAGCATGGGGTCCCTCCCATGGGAGACAGTCCTCCATGAACTTCTCCAATGTCAGTCCTTCCTATGGGCCACAGTTCTTCACAAACTGCTCCAGTGTGGGGGGTGCAGTCCTTCAGGAACAGACAGCTCCAGTGTGGGTCCCCCATGGGTCACAAGTCCTGCCAGCAAATCTGCTCCAGCACGGGCTTCTTTCTCCACATGTCCATAGGTCCTGCCAGGAGCCTGCTCCAGCACGGGCTTACCACGGGGCATCCACCTGCTCCAGCGTGGGGTCTTCCATGGGCTGCAGGTGGATATCTGCTCCACCGTTAACCTCCATGGGCTGCAGGGGGACAGCCTGCCTCGCCATGGTCTTCACCATGGACTGCAGGGGAATCTCTGCTCCGGTGCCTGGAGCACCTCCTCCCCCTCCTTCTTCACTGACCTTGGTGTCTGCAGAGTTGTTTCTCTCACATATTCTCATTCCTCCTGCTATGGGGATCAGTAAATTTGACTCTGAATGTTAGCATAAGAAAAATGCCATCGCTCTGACATATGAATACCATGTCAGGATGAACTCAGTCTATGTCTATTTGTTCAAAGGATATTGTCAGGTTAAAAGTATATTGGTGGGCCTGATGTAGGCCAGTTGCTATTTCCTCTCAGAGCTGTCATAAAGCCAGTATGAACTCTGCAATGTGCGGCCTGGCTAGCTTGATGTCAGTGTGGTCACAAACCCAGGCCTGGCTGGCATCATGGAAAAACTGCTTTGTGATTTTGGGATGTACTCAAGAGGTGCCTCTTGGGAGGAATCATGGCCTTGAGAGTCTGTAAGTGGTTAAAAACTGAGCGTATTTATCTGTTGCTCCATACGTCCAGACAGAAGGTGTGAATGTGTAACAGTTTCAAAATCTCTGAATTGCTGAAAAGTTTGGATAACAATGCAGCACTTTTGTACTTTTCTTGTGAAAATTCATTTGAATGTAAAGCTTGGCTAATGTGGTCTAAGACCAGTAGATCTACAGGGAAAAAAAGAGAGAGGGCATAGGAAGGATAGGGGAAAAGCACAGGAAGATGGTGCAATCCTCCTGGAAGAAAATGTCCCTGAAAGTTATGTTTAATTTAATTTAAGATTCTGAGAGGCATTACACAACTTCTGGAGCTGAAGTGCACAATCTTTCAAGGTTATTTAATTGTATGTTTATAATCTAACTGCTTTAAAAACTTGTACTCAGACACCCAAGTAATATCTAAGTTCTAATTAATTTTTTTTAAAAAGTACTTTCAGTGGCTCTTGGGCAGATGAGAGAAGTTTCTTTTGGGTGTTTCTTCTCTCATTTTATTATGCTTATGTACCTTTTAGCTTTGATGATTGGCTTGATCTAAATTGACATCTGAAAAAGAAGCCTGATATCAGTGCATAAATCTGTGATAATCACCACATCATTACACAGTATCACCTTTTGAAGAAGGAATTATAAAGCTACTCTGTATTCAAAATTCAGCAGCAAGTTATTAACCCTTGTCTGTTATAAACAGATTAAAAAATGTCACTTGTGAGAAACAAAAATGGCAAGCTAAAGCAAAGCTAAACTATTTGAGATGGGGCTTCAATGTACATTTTGTTAGAGGTCTGCTATCCTGAAGTTCGGATAAAGGAATGTCAGTTTGTGATGAAAAATTTTTCTGGCATGATGAATACTAGATTCTTAAGTCAGAATGTTCTCAGCTGTTCTGCTGTTTTTCTCAGCCAGATAGCTCTGTCTGGAAATAGGCAGTGTGATACTGCTCTAAATTCATGGGGAAATGATGTTAACATCCATATGTGTAAGCTGAGCAAGGGGTGGTGAGAAGCTGTTTATGAATAGACTCCCCCAGTTCTTAATTTATTATTGTCTAGAAGGGGCCTGAAATGTAAGGTGACAAAAGCTTTCTGTCTTCACATGGTGTGCAGCAGGTTTTTATAGCCCATGAAAATTATTATCGATTTGTGCTTCCAATATGAAAATTATGTTGAAATTTTTACCCGCTATTGTCCTTTTCCCTCCACACAACTGTTTCTTTGAGGATGTTCCCGCATTTGCTTAAAATAATAGTGTATGACATTAATCAGTCACAGAAAATAGCCACCACCGGGATCTTTATTAGGAGCTTTATGGTTCACTAATTGTTTGAAATCATAAGGCCTCAGAATATTCCTTTAGTGACCTACTAATGCACATCCTGCAGAAAATGTGAAAGCTCTCACTTTGGAAGCGTACAAGCATCTTCTCTTTTTGGAAGTATTTAGCAGGTGTCTAAACTATATGCTTTAAATTTGCAACATATCTGATATTTTTCTCTCTCATTTGTGCAGATAGGTATGGAAAATACATACTGAAATGTATAGGTAGGCATAAAGAACTAGGGCTGAACACTATGCATACAACATAGGTGAAACTTGCTGAAAAATGGTGTACAGTAGGTATGGTGTGTTTTTGTATGCATATATAGACACACGTGCATATGATCACCAATTCCTACATGTAATTTTCTTACCACTAATTGTAGTCCCCCTGTTAATTTTTAATGCATTTCCGACTAACATGATATTCTATATTAAATTCTATCATGAAGTAGTCCAGATGAACAAGGCTTTGTTTTTAACTTGCAGCAGAATGTCAGCTGACAACAGCAAATACAACATACTGATCTAAAGGAGAAGTCATGCATCAAGTTGCTTGCTTACCGACTGCCTTTAGAGAGGCGTACTTGTTAAGCTCTTTGCCTGGGGGCTGTTGCTCATATGGGTTTGTGATCTGTCCCAGGCTGGGATATGAATGTTGATGTGCCATCTGAGGAAGGAGGGGAGATGTTGGCATGACATTATTCATCTGTGGTGGATCTGTATAAAAGAAAATCGACAACCATTAAGAAAAAAATAAATCAGTCTTAAGGTTTTAACATCATTACCCAGTACAGATTAGGGTATGTCATGAGATTTAATGCAACAAAACACTATTTACTATGAAGTGGGAGTTAGAGTACAGCAAACCTGTACTTCAAAGAGTTAATGGCATGATTAAAGGCTGACGAATGATTGCAGCAATACATGCTGACTTTTGTATAAAAAAGATCTTTGAACGAAAAAATAGGTTTTCAAAACAATTGAACACCACCACAAAGACTGAATTTGCTGCAGCATTAGGATGCAAACCAAAACTTGAAGTTTTTTCCAAGGTAGCTTGAATACAAGGCAGTAGTATCACACTGTCTGATAGCCAGGCTAACTTCAATTGGCTCAGGCAGGCTGCTCCATATATGCAGTTACACTGCTTTTAATACCAGAACTAGCTTGGTTATTTGCACAGCATTATGTTGTGTTCTGTAGACATGCCCCACAGTGTAGAATGTGCAATTTTGGCTCATGACTGTCATTAGGTAATTTTTTCAAAGCTCACACTTTGTCCTTAGGTATTCTCCTTTTCCCTGACAGTAGGTATCACAATATCATACCAAGATAGGATTTTCTGTAGCAGACATACCTAAAAGCAGGAGCTAATTACTGCTTATGTACAGTTTTATACCAGCACTCACCCCATATCCATTCTGTAGTTGATTTCTTCCTTTATAGTTGAGAATACAGCCTGGATACTTTTCTTTCTAAGATATACCATAATTTATTAGTTGTTTTTAATGTTTGATTCCAGCCTCTAAAAAGTTTGGTCAGAATTGTATGCCGCACTCAATTTGCAAACCTAAATTTCAACAGATTTCAACATGCTCAGCATATCTTTTTTGCTGAGTCTTTCTCCAGGCTGTGTGTTTTGAGATATTTAGAGCTGATTGTCAATCCTAGAACCTTATCATGGCTTCTGAAATCACAGATGAGTGCATTTTTCTCCTGCAATGAAACCATGGTGCTGAATTGGTGACAATATAGTAACTCCCACAGCATCAAGCACAGGCTTTTGATCATGTAGAAAGAAAGCTGGGCAGTGAGGGGAAAGAAGGCTTATTATGATAGAGAGAGTGGACCACCCCCCAAGTGCCCCCAGGATCTGGCAGGCACCAAATATCCCTGCAGTTTGCCAGGATTTTAAGGGAATTGAGCCACTTGGCTTCCCACAGCTCATTAATGAAGCTCAGTGGATGAGCAGGAGCTCTGAAGCCAGTCAACAGATTTACTGCTGGGAGAGGAAAGGAAAGCTAAGGCATTTTTTAACTTTCTTCTTCTTCACCATAGCTGCTGCCTGGTGCAGTCTCTGCTGTTCAGACTGAGGCTGCCCCTGCCTCTGCAGAGCAGTGTAATCACATCCTCCTACCACATACACGTGTAAACAAGTTGTGAGGGCACCTTGAGGCAACTCAAGAAAAATGGTAGAAGTGCTATCATCTAAAAACAGTATGATTCTTCTTGCTGTTACTGGTAATTAATAGGGAACAAACTGGTTGTAGATAGTAGGTAGAGCTGAATGAGAAATTATTTTCCCATAACAAAAGAGTTTTTCAGTAAGTATTTTTTTTTCTTTTACCAAACAAATGAAATCTGAAGTTGGACTTTTTTTTGCAAATACCGCGTCAGATCAGGAGAAACATTTTGTCATGATTTCAAAATTTTATATATATATATAAAATAAGTTGGCTCACTTTTAAAAAGAGAAACTTTATTTTGGATTGAAAACCAGAAACTTTTCTGTTCCAGAATTTCCAAAAAAGTATTGGAACACTTTTTGAATCTTTTTTCATAGGTTTACCTTGAAAGGGTAAGTTTGTTAAGTCAACCCTTTCACAGAAACAGTTGTTATTTTAATGAATTGCTGTTTTCTAATAAATAAAAGCTCTTGGTAAGTTTCTGTTCAGCTATAGTACTGGCATGTCTGATATAACTAAGTGGAGTGACTAGATCAGGAGAAACATTTTGTCTTGATTTCAAAATTTTATATATATATATAAAATAAGTTGGCTCACTTTTAAAAAGAGAAACTTTATTTTGGATTGAAAACCAGAAACTTTTCTGTTCCAGAATTTCCAAAAAAGTATTGGAACACTTTTTGAAGGTTTTTTCATAGGTTTACCTTGAAAGGGTAAGTTTGTTAAGTCAACCCTTTCACAGAAACAGTTGTTATTTTAATGAATTGCTGTTTTCTAATAAATAAAAGCTCTTGGTAAGTTTCTGTTCAGCTATAGTACTGGCATGTCTGATATAACTAAGTGGAGTGACTCTTAGAGTAAGAATGTGCAAAATCCTATTCTGTTCCCATTCTGTCTCTAGAGTACAGCTGAGGAAAGCCTCTTACTCTAATGGCTTGAACCATAAAATAGCTGACCACTCTTTCCAAACCATCCATATCTTCCAAATGTCTCTCTTTTATGGTTGCATCTATAAGTACACTTTTGAGGAGGAATGCTAGCACAGCCCTATTTCAATAACAGGGCAGCTCTAAAGATACCAGTGTGGGTGGGACATTTAACATAAGGAAGGCATCAACCTTTTACCACTACATTCACTAATTTTTTTCTGAGTAGATCTAAATCAGCACTTCATAGATGCTACTACCACGAAGTTCCCTTGTGGCAATTCTTATTATTCAGTCTGTCAAAACATCATGATTTCACTGTGATGAAAGTATTGTGAGCACCAGTATTTCTATGCTCACTGCCAAAGTGACTTGCAGCTGTGGAGACTTGCAAAAACAATGTAAATAAGGTGTAGTTAACCAGGACTGTTTTTCTACCTCTGCCTCTTACTTAGACCTATCATTTTTACTCAGTTATCTCTTTAAATGTAGTGAAGAAAGTTACCCCAGAAATGTACTGGGGAAAATTAATTAGGTGTACTTGGTTTTTGTTCAGGTGTTCAGTGGCAGACTATATTGTTACTAGGTTGCTGGTTTACTAATGTTGCTGCAGTTTGGTGCTTTGAGTGTTTATGAAGATGTAAAGAAATATGTTTTCCATTTCCAGATAATCTTTGACTTCTCTTTTGTCTTGTTAAAAGCCCAGAACTCTCCTGAATTATGAATTTCAAGCAAATTAATGACAGTCATTCTTTCACTGCTGCACTGACTGCACAGTGCCCCTCACTCATACCCAGATGCTTACACAAGACTAAGTCATCACATAGAAGACACAGTTCAAATTATTCATTCAGATGGCCATTTGCACAAAGTAAATTAAGCAAAAGGCCAAACTCTGGCAAAGTACATTGAACTATATTGAAGAAAGATTCCCATTTATAGAGAGACTCACATTGGAATGGACTCCTAGGGCCTAAAAGGAAAATCGCAGCTTGATATATACATCTGTCTAAGTCTGAATCATACTAAATTTTAGTCTAACTGGCCGTAATTGGTGAACGTTGCATTTGTTTGCAAGCTCGCTAAACTGTGTGTGATCTGATTCCTTATCTTTGGGTTTCTAGAAATAAGTGAGCAAATGGGACACTTACGTTGTTTTCTCCACACATAGTTAATGTAATGATGATGGGTAAATTCACCTATATTTGGGTGCTATTTAGGAAATGTTCGTAATTGAAGTAACAACGGTGTAATGCAAATACTGCAGCAGGCACGGTGATGGGGAGTGTAAGTCTAACCACTGGGGGGAGCCCAGGCCTAGCCGTGAGCAACTAGGAGGTTTTCAACAGGACTTGCTTTGCCTGCTCTGGGGCCATCCACACTTAAAACTGAAAAAGGCACTGGCCTCGGCAATGTTGTTTTATGCTTGTAAATACTGCTTCAGTCTCAGCAATACTGAATAGGGATTCTCGCAGGAAGTAAAGAAATTTGTCTACAACTACTTCACAAGATCTCAATGTGAAATTTGAGGTTTTTCAATTTGAGATTTTGACTTTTTTTCCTGAAATTGGAAAAAAATAGTAAGTGTTCAATTTTGGGGAGCAAATAATAATCTATTGGATTATTCAAAATATTTTGGGATACAAGGGATTGGTTTCAATTGGAAGAAAGTTTAACCAGAAAAATCCTTACCAGCTTTATCACTGACCTCTAGTGCCAAGTTAAATCCTTTATACTTATAAACCAGATATTCTGTGATTGGTATTTGCATATAGCTGGCTTCACTGAATGGGGACAACTTTAACCTGAAAGCTGTTGCTGTGCTGATACATCACTTTTGGCAACTTGACACTGGTACATTGTCCAGCACAGTATTCCATATAACCAGCTGCACTGTGCCACTGCCAATTTATGTATTTATTTATTTTTAAAAGACAGAGAATATGAACATCACAAAGAGTCAAAAAACTGTTTGTGCTGCAGCTTCTAGCATGACTAGTCAGACCTGATTAGCAATGGTGATATTGTAAAAAACCTGCAATATTCACAACCTGTCTTATTTTCTGCTGAAGCAAGGAAATATGATGCCACGCTGCTTCCTAACCTCTCAAGACTTTGAGGAGTCATTCTGGATGTAGTCGTTTGCTCTCTGTCTTCCTACTACCAGCCCCAAAGGAAGAGTTTGAAAAAGCATGCTGGAGCTTACCACACAAAAGCTAGATGTCTGCTGGGCAGAAAATGAGACGTACAGGAGAAAAGAAAAACAAAAAAGGTCTTCAGATGCTGAAGAATGCTTTTGACTGTTATACCCTTAAAAGGTCTAGGTATAGAAAAGCTTGTGGGAGGCAAATGGAGCAGAAAATAAGAACTGGAAGGAAGCTGCACCAAAACCAGTTTATAGCTAGAGAAAGTGGGTTTTACATCCCAGCCACCAACAATGAGCCTTTGGAAATGGCTAAGGCATCAGCTTCTGGTCACAGTCCCAGTAGTTGAAAAAGACTGATCATTACGTTATCTGTTTATTACCTTGACCTATATCTCAGCCTGCGCAATTGAAACTTGTATCCAGATGTCACAGCTAACAGCTTACTGCATTTTTCAAGTG